AAACTTAGTCCTAACGGCGACCTGCCTCTACCTCCCACGCGCGTCTCGGCCCCCGCCAGGCGGCCCGTTTGCCTCTCACTCCTAGGCCCGCTGCCGTTGCATGGCTTTGGCGTGTGCCGTCCCTTCCCTTGGAAAACTTCTCCCTCCCCTATTTAGCTCTGTGTCCTGGTTCACGGGTCACTTACTCAGGAAAGCCCCCCTCGGCCTCCCAGGCTAGGTCGATGCCATAGTTAGAAACTCACTCAGCCCAGTACAGGCCCTCGGTAAGTAACCGGTGAATCAGCGAAGCTGGTCGCGTTCCCCTTGGGCCGTGGTGCCCTCAAGTGACCCCTCTGGGCGTTGCAACAGTTGATTTTAAAGGGACACCAACGGCTTCCACACTTCTGCGAGTGCGGAATCAACTGAGTCTGGGGCCCAGCAGGGGCATGAAAAGGTGCTCAGTCCACTAATCACCAGAGAAACGACAAGCAAAACCACAGGGGACTGTCACTTCACACCGGTTAGGATGGCTCTTATAAAAAAGACGATAGACGGCAAGTGCTGGCAAGGAAGCGGTGGAAAGGGAACCCTTACGTACTGCTGGTGGGCATGTAAAGTGGTACAGCTGCTGTAAAAACCAGCATGGTGTTTCCTCAAAAAATTAAAACGAGCGCTACCATGTGATCTAGCAATCCCACTTCTGGGTATATCTCCAAAGGAAATGAAACCGCTATCTCGAAAGGCTACCTGCACGCCCGTGGTCATCGCCGCATATTTACAGCAGCCAAGGTACGGAAACCTGTGTCCGTCGACGAATGAATGCATAAGTAAAATGTAGTTTCTATATACAATAGAATGTTACTCAGCCACAGAAAAGGAAATCCGGCCATTTGTGAAAACATGGGTGAACCTGGAAGACATTATGCTAAGTGAAATAAGCCAGATAGAGAAACACAAGTACGGTACGATCTCAGTTATATGTGGAATCTAAACATATAGATTCATAGAGTAGAAGTGATAGAATCAGAGAGTAGAATGGTGATTGCCAGGGGCTGAGGTTGGGGGGGAAATGGAAAGATGCTGGTCAAAGGATACGAACTCTCACAAGATGTATAAGGTCTGTGGACCTAATGCACATCCTGGTGACTACAGTTAGTAATACCGTATTTTATACTTGAAGTTTGCTAAGAGAATAGGTCCTAAGGGCTCTTACCGCTCCACCACGACCACCACAACAAGGTGAACATGAAGGATGAACATGTTCATTAGCTCGTAGTAATCATTCCACAATGTATCCATATATCAAATCATCACGTTTACATCTTAAATATATGCAATTTTCCTCGTCAATTATGCCTCAATGAAGCTGAAAAGGACGTGAGAACAGGGCCTGGAATGAGTAAATCCTGAGGAATGGATGCGAGACTTATAAACCCCCCTCCCCCGAAATGAAATGGGAGCTTCAGTCTTATCTCACGTCGCTGTTCCTGGGCCCTGAACTCCCCCTTCGCTCCTGCCTCGCAGGCACCTCCTCCACTCCTCTGACTTCATAACTGCCTCCCCCACACACCTCTGCTCCTCATCGCCTTCTGACCTGCAGACCAGAATGTTCTCTCTCCTCCTGGGCATCTCCCTCTGAGTGCCCCAAGCAATTCAAACCAAATATGGATGTCTTTTTCTCCCTGGGTACTTTCCATCTTGAAGTCCCCTAATGTGTTCAGGGAACTGTGAAAAGCAAATGACTTGTTTTCTGACTTCTCATGAAACCTGACACTATTTATAGATAAGAAAATTGAAGCCCAGAGAGATTAAGTAACTCGCCCAAAGTCACATAGATTCAAAATTTGAATCCCTACCGGACTCCTACATCCTGAAACCAAGTGTGAGCTCCTTTTAAGGGGCCAGATGCTTTTGTAACTGGAACTCTTTTTAGGAAAAGGAGTCTGAGTTGAAGAAAACGAAGGTAGGTACAGGGCCTTAGAAGGGACTTGTATAAGGGCCTTGAAGCTTAAATTCCTTAGCTTCATGATAAAATGGCCTCTAAATGAAAATTTGGAGATAGACATATCGATCTCCAAAGATAATGGATAGGGGAAACAGATGGGAGGGTTTTTATTTTCAATGTCTACCACCCTCTTTGCCGAAACTTCTGTAAAGCGTGAAAGGCCCACCCATTAGAAGTGGTTTCCAGATGTGTTCCCAGAGTCGTTCCTGAGAGCAAAGAGCAGGCAGTGGGTGGCGCTGCTTTTGTCAGAATGTCAGTGTCAGATGAGAGGGAGAAGACAGAACTATAGCAAAGGCAGGTGCAAGCGGGTGTCCAACATCAGGGCAGGGAAATCGACACGGGAGCAGCAAATCCAATCAGCCGTCTAAGTGGACAGTGGGTAGAGTGAAAGCGAAATTGCTGTGCGTCAAAATTTGTAGTCGGTGTTGAGTTAACAAATCCAAATGAAACCTAGACACTTGACAACTGCCAAGCAAAAATTCAGCTTTGTTCGTAAGAAATGCATTATAAAAACTGGACGGAAGCCGGGCGGGCATGGCTGAGCTGTTGAGCATCGACCCGGAGATCGCGATTCTATTCCCGGTCAGGGCACATGCCCGGGTTGTGGGCTCCATCCCCAGTAGGGTGCGTGTAGGAGGCAGCCGATCAATGACTCTCTTATCATTGATGTTTCTCTCTCTCTCTCTCTCTCTCTCTCCCTTCCTCTCTGTGAAATCAATAAAGACATATTAAAAAAAAAAAAAAAAGCTTGATGGAAAAGTCACAGGAACAATGATGTTACTTTTTGCAGGCTGCCAACTGCCCAAAGAAAAGTCATTCCCAAAGAGTGTCCCCTAGTGGACTGGAGTGCCACAGTTCCCTGGAACTTGGAATTTCCCGTCAGGCATCTTACCCCATGTCAGCTTGTTTTTTGAAAAGCCTTCTGGGGTTTTGCCTAAAAGGTGACTTTGTAGTTGTTTTTTAAAAATATTGTTTCTTGTTTCAAGATTCCTTGTAAACATCTGACTTACATGACCCATATGGTGCCTATATAAACTTTCACCACTATCAACTATTACAACTATTAGTAAGATGGCTGCTTGAACAAAATTATAGTTTTGAATAACAAAATTTTACTTTTTACAGTGGAACTGGTAGGATAGTCTCTAAATTCTTAATAGAAAAGTTCCCATTTCTTGGATTTATTAGTTCAGTTTAGGTCTCTGATTATTATAAAGGGACCCCTAAAAGAGGTTATAGACATAATTAGGAAGATAAAGTGAAGTCCAAAGCACGAATTGCAGCCACCTTTTGAAGGTTAATTTTCAGTGTCTGTTCAAATATACAACATACAAAATCTGTGATCCAGCATATCCACTGGTAGAATTTTACCTCTAGATTTGTTCGTATAACTGAGCAGAGATACACGTGCAACTTTTACTGATATTTACTCTAGCAATTATTCTAGTAAGAGAAATACAGAAAAACAAAGAGGAACAACCTACTACATCTGATAGGACTTCCAGAAGAGAGGAGAGGAAGAGACAATTTTTGAAAAAAATAAAGGCTGAAATTTGCCCAGAATTATTTGTATGCAATCAATTTTATACTATTTTCCTAATATATTTCCATAAAATTTTACCAGGTAGTCTTGATAACTTTTTATGACTATGCATAAACTAAGTCACAGGTGAACATTTTTTTTGAGAAAATATGCTGTATGACGAGTCTGTAAGCATAATTTTCTACTAATTTACTGAAGGCATGATTGATTCACGTTGCTGAAGCCATGTTACCTTTGGTTTGGGTGGCGCCGTGTTGTGCTGTGGCAAGCCTTGGGTTCCAGCCCCTCCATTTAGTCACTTAGTCAACTAATGCCTCTGCAGGTCACCTTCCTCATTGCTAAGGGAATAATATTTATGCTGCCTAGCTGAGCATTACTGTAAAGGTCAGTGAAAACCTAGAAATCTTATCAGCACATTAAAGGAGAAAAACCATGATATTAATGACATTAGTAGCCGTTTGTGGCAGAGGCAATGCTGTGTGTTCACCAAATTAAATTTTTTTGAGATACACAGTTAAACTGCATTTCCCAGCATTCCCAGCAGTTCAGGCCAATGACATAGGAAAGAAAAAACACCACGTCCACCTGGGGGTTATGTTCTGTTGGATCCTTCACTCTTCTGTGTGCTGATTGGGTATCAATTTCCAAGATGACCTGGAAGCTGTATATTGGAGATGGCAGAGCCTCTTTCAGCTTGGATTCCTATGTGACTCTGTGAAGAAAGTGTCCCCCGCCCCCCTCCCCTTGGTCCACATCGGACTACGGTAACTATAAAGATTATTGTTGTATTATGCCACTGAGATTTAAGTGTTACTTGTTACAGCAGCTAGCATAACTTACCCTAAGACATTGCTAAAAAGGTGTTTGAGAAGTTAAGACAAGAGATGGAACTTGCAGAAACACCAAGAGATTTGGGAGGGTTTACCCATCAGTCACTACAGCATTGTGTCTGCTTTGTCAGCCCTGGCTGTGCTGGAATTTGGGTGGGCACACCTGTGCATATCTGGCCTTTTCCTCTCTAGGACTAAATGGTTAGGTCCAGGCTTCGTGTATGTAATCGTCCCTCCTCTAGAATTAATACAATGTCCATGACTTATAACATGTGCTTTTTAAGCACTAAAGTGTCCTTAAAAGATCTCTGGTGATGGAAGGAGACGGGACTTTGGGTGGTGAGAACACAATGCAATGTACAGATGATGTATTATAGAACTGTACACTTGAAACCTATGTAATCTTGTCAACCAATGTCACCCCAACAAATTTAACTTTAAAAAATCAGCAAGCAATGAATGGGAAGAAACACAGACAAATGGAAACAGATGTGTTTGAAGACTGTAATCAGACATGAAGCACTTCTTTTAAAAATTGCCATTTATTTTTGTTAGTGCAATACAATTCAGGGAAAAAAAAAAGCTGACCTAAATAAATAAAGCTATTAACTGATTTAAAAAAAAGATAAGATCAGTAGCACAGTTTTGGGGAGGGGGGGTAAATGTTTATTAAACCAAACTTTCAAATTTTATCAATTATATCCACCTACAGTCTGTAAACAAATATTATACACATGTAAAATGCTCTTTGATTAGAATTATTGGAAAAACTACACAACCCCTTGCACACTGGAGCCTCGCCACTCTTTGGGCCAATGCTATGGGGCCTTCTGATAGTTTAATGAAAAACCAGAAGGAGTTTAGCTCAACTCTACCTGCTAGGATGGATTTCAAGACAGATAACTCTTCCGCCTAATAGTGGACTGGGTTATAACAAGGCAACAGTGTAGTTTTTACATTCACAGATCAGCTGAAATAGTACAATTTAAGCTTCTCTTCTGGATGTCTCCCTCTTTATTACCGTAATTAGTGAGAGATGATAGACCACAGGTGATTACAAAAATAGATAACTCATAGAGTAATAAATATCTACAGTTAGCAGAGCACAAACTCATAAAATTTGCCTTTTCCCATAATATGCAGGTTATCATAAGTATGTTCAAGAGGTACAGTCGGCAGACTTTCCAAGTGGTAAGAGAGCATTGTAAAGAAAAACACTCAGTACAAAGCCCAAAGCAGGAATTTGAATGCAGATGGGAACATACAAAAGACAGAATTCCTCACCTCTGATTATTCTAATTAATAGACACCACAATTAGCTTGCAGCCCTTTATGTATCTTAAAAAGTAACACCTTGTTACCTATGTACAAACTTTAAAAAAGATTAATCATGAGACAGGCAAAAATTGATTAACTTAATAGTGGCACTAAAATCAATAAAACTTGGAGCATTTTTGTGTGCTTTCATATACTTCTGTGGATGGGGCTTTATAATGCTCCCAAAATGTTTGGGACCGAGTTTTAAAAATTCCCACAAAAATCTATTCTACAATCATTTCCAGTATAGAAAGAAAAAAGTCCCAAACTGGAACATAAAAAAAGGTCAAAAACCTCACAAAGTGACTGAAAATCCATAAATATATAAGTGACATTCATATGTTCCCTTAACAGTTTATTAAGTGCTATGTAAGGTAATTATAATCCTATCCTGAAACCAATCTCACTGAAGAAGATACAGTAATTCCCATTCTAATTCTAGAATTAAAAGCACTTATTCTTCATAATGTGCGTTGCAGCGAGGCCGACACCCACTTGGTCGTACTTGTCGGTGTCACCTTAAAGCTTCAGCAAAGCTTCACGGCAGACCTGAACTGTGAAAGTGGGGAACTACCTACCACAGGTATTTACTCATCCTGATTTCGTACAGGGAGTGAAGGGCATATTTGAGTTATACTGAGGTCAGTGTCTCCTGGAAACTTTGGCCAGTTTCCTTGCCAAAAAAAAAAAAACCTCCATAATCTAATGTGTTTGGGACTGGCTGGGTTATATAAACTGGTTCCACTAACATACATTCTACACCTTCAAGATTCAGCTTTCCCCAAACTCACTTGACCCTGCCAGGGAACACCCAGAAGCACTTGCCACAGGACCCCAGAACACTAGTTTCCTAGGGAACAGGGTTTGAGAAATGCTGTTCCAGAGTAAATTTTCTAAAGTAGTCCTTCTAAAATCATAGGGAACATCAGAATCACATGGAAGGTGTGTTAAAGCATCGATACCACACCCCACTTCACAGGTCTGCAGTGGGACCTGGGAACCTGTGTCTAAGAGACTCCAAGTGAAGCTGATGGAGTGAGGGCCACGCTTTGAGTGGTATTGGTCTAGACAATGCCCCCCCCAAATCTCAGCTGCAGGAAGCCCTCCCATGGCCTCAGGAAAGGCTGCATATGGCACCTGCCACAACCAATTAGCTGGGGGTCAAATCAGCCCAGTGCCATCTGAGAAGGTCCCCGGGCACCCTGGTGGGACGGGGGAGCACTAGACTTGACTCATGGCTCTGCTCCCTCCTTACCAGGTGACCAGGCACAGTGACAACACCTTAAAACAGGAATAATAGCAGCCCCTCTCAGAGGATCTGTGAAGCTCAAAGGAAATGTTTGCACAGAAGTGCTACCTAACAAAAAGCATCAGACAAGTGTTGTTAACCAGGAGAATGTGTCAGTCACAGCAGGAAAATCTCAGGTGAGTCTTCTGTGTTCTGCCTTTGCTGCCCCCTTCTGAAAGCACATCCCGGCAGCTCAGGAAGAGAAAAGGGGCTAAAAACGCAGAAAACTGCAGTGAGAGGAGGCTACTTAGTGGGTTACCTAATTAAAAACATCCAGTTGTTAAAAAAAAGATCAACTCACAATCAAAGTCATTAAAGTCTGTTGATCTTTGAACGCACTCACCCATTCTACCACGTTATTAATGCTGGTAAATTTCACCATCAAAAGAATGAAAAATAATTCCTTCACTCAAAGACATATGAATTAGATCTAAGAAAATTTAGCTGAGATAGTTCCAATCTCATAAGCTACCACAGTGGGAGTTTCAAAGGTATTTTTAAAAAAGGACTTTTAATTTGGGTTCATGCAGACATCCACAGAATGAGAAATGAACACACACTCACACGCGTTCACCTATGTGCGTCTAGTTGTTGCCCAGTACCTCTTAGCCAATGATCTGCTTCTCAAAATTCAAAAACGAGCCTGTAAAAATTCATACACATCCATGATGGAGTTACAGCCAAGCAAACATCTTGTGGCCAAGTCCCAGTTTCCATTTGAACCCAACGAACTGATCGGAAAGGCAGAACCCTGCCCGACACGCTTCATGATCCACTTTATGAATGTTCTGGATGGCTCTGCAGACAAGACAGCATCTCTTGAACGGGTTTGCCTTCATAGCAGATCTGATAGACCGCAGTAAACAATGGAAACCTAGTTGTGGGGAAATGTGAAAAGACAAGTTAAGCCATCTGGTTTACCTCATACAACAAGGCAGCTCTTCTGACCTAACAGCTTGCAGATTAGTGTGCTACCTGTGACCGCCTCCTACATTCCTTTATTATTTGGCCTGCAGAGAGCCTCTGCACTGCTGGCCATAAGATCTTGGTACAACCTAAGTCATCCTCTGCCTAAGTGGATGCACTGTCTACAAACAAGGCACGTGGTAAACCTTAGGGGTAACAGTCTATGGTCATTCACATAAAGACTTGTAGCTGAGGCTCCTGGAATGAGTCCAAGTTTCTGCCACTATTTTAAAAGACCGGAGAATAAATTTTAAGGCAAGTCTCTTCTCCCGAAATGAAGATGGGCAGCCCACACATCACCATAAATAGCCCAGCCTGGGCTGCTCCTGCCAGAGCCAACGCGAGGACCCACAATTAACAGAGCACTGATCTCGGGTCGGAAGCTGGATTTATTCTGCCTTTCCTTCCAAGATGTGAACACATGTAAGTAAATGTTTGAAATGGATGAGGGGGTGAGGTAGTGGGCTCCTAACCCACTGTAAGAAAAGGTAACATTGCCCCAGGTACAGCTGGCCCAGCAGGTATTACGGCAGGTATCACACAGGAAATAACGAAGTTCATTTCAATCAGGCTTTTAAACACGCACACGCGCACACACAGCCCAAGGTGAGCTTGATGGGATCCGTAAAGCCTTAAAGGCCATTCTGAAATTGTCTAGTTAGAATCCTATAATGACAGCTTAGGTCATGTGTCTTTATGACAGTCTATCACTGTGGGTTTCTTAAGGTTCAGGATGTTTTGTTATTTTTTGGAGTTAGGTAGACTTCATCAAATCTGACTCCAAGGCCTATTAAGTCTGGGCAAGTTTCACAACCTCTCTGACCCAGTTTGCTCATCTGTAAAACGGGGCTGGACACTCAGGCTTCTTGTATTAAACGCTTACACATAAAGCACGCAACACTTGGTGCACGGCGGGTGTGCAACAAATAACAGCTTAGCGATGCAACCACAGGGAAGCCCCAGGAGGCGAGCTGGGACAGGCAGACCTTAGGGAATTCCGGGTTCAGTTCCAGGCCACTGCCATAAAGCCAGTATCACCATAAAACAAGAAAATAAATCTTTTTTTTTTACTGGTGGAGGGTCTTGTCGTCAATGTGTGAAAAAGGCAAATCTGCGAAGTGAAACAACACGAGGCAGGCCTTGTGCTGGACTGAGCGGGGCTGCCTGAAATGCTAACCCAAGGGCCACAGACCTCATTCCAGAAGAACAGGCGGCCTTCCAATGTGAGTGCTGGAGGGGGAAGGGGCCGTGGCGATCATCTGGTCAACCAGTTTGATTTTTGTGGATAGCGAGACCGGGGCCAGAACAGCTAAAACTAGGGCCTGCCTAAGACCACATGGCTAGTGACACAAGGTGCCCCTGAACGATGCCCCCCTGCTTATTGCTCTTTCCATAGCGAGGGAGGAGGCAGGAGAGAAGAAATAGAGGAAGATCGGAGAAGTGAGGGCTGGAATGAAGAAATAAAAAAATCAAGGCAAGAGGTAGTGCAAAGGGAGAATGTGAGAGCTCGGCTCTGCCTGAGCAGGATCGGGAGGCAGGTGCCGGGGAGGGAGAGTCCCACGTGGCTCTACGCTCCAGCCCGGCAGAAGGGGGGTGCCCCCTCCAGGGCCTTCATTAAGCACAGGCACAGTCTGTGCAATTTCTAACCAGAAGAGAGAAAATGGGACATGACTGAGGAGAGGCGTCTGCTCAGAGGCGAGCTGCACCTGCTGGATTACATCTGCTTTTTAAACAGGCAGGTCCTGATCCCAGGATGCCCATTTTGGTCGGTACCCTCCTGGAGTGAAAAGATGAACACAGCCGACTTGTGAATTCATAAAATCTTATCACACGCACCCTTTGGTGGCACATGGATCCCACTTTAAAACTCTGATTGGGAGATACTAGCCATCAACAAACACCCAGGCATTTTTTTTTTTTTTTTAAGACTTCAAACAAATTCCTGATAAAGACTTAATGGCCATTGGAGCAGGCCAGCCACACACAAGCGCATCACCGTCTACTGTTAATGGGCGAGGGAACCATGCATGTCGGAGGTGTTTTCCTTGCAGTCACGATGTAAAGGTAATCCGCCTCCTCTGGAGGCTTGTTTACGGCTTCTGTCTCTGCCTGGCTGGTTTCGAAAGCCATTCCAGAAAAATAAAATGCAAATGAAAGAAGGGAGACAAATGCCCTGTCCTCCCTTGTTTTCCACTTTCGCCAGGGAATTCTACAAGTGATCAATCTGTACTGGGTGAAAGGGGGAGAGAGGTAAGGTAAGGATGCCAGGCTGGGGCCAGCAGACACCTGGGCTGAGCATGAAGGAGATGCAACCAGGGAGACCCTGCCCCCCTCCAGGCAGCATCAACAGAGCTGCGCAGCTCCCTCCTTCCCCAGGCAAGAGGCGGTCCCCTCTCCCAAAGGGTACTGGAGAGTTAAAGATCCTCAGAATATGCTGCACAAGCATTTACGAGGTGGTGCAATTGGCGCCGTGATGATGGAGGAAGGCTCAACGGATCAGCAAGATAAAGGGCCAGGAGCAGCCTCAGAGAGGTCCGGCTTCCTTCCTTGATCAGGTGGCAAATCAAGCTGACCCCACCCCACTTTCCCTATGTGACCAGCCTGGAAGGGCAGTGGGGGCCCCGTCCATCCATCCACCTACCCACCCACCCATCCACACGAGGACAGGCTGCAAGGCTGCTCACAAACCTCTACAAGGGTCGTCTTACCGCTAGTGGTAGGATTTGGGGTGGTGTGTGTGTCTTTGTTTTCTGAATTGTTCAGCAGTTTATGAACAAGACTCTCCTTTTATAAAAACAACAAAGCGATCGCTTTCTAAAAAATTTAAAACTTACGCAGCTCTTACTAAACAGACCAGAACCCTAAACGTCCTATTTTCAACGTGAAGGACAGAGCCCTGCTTCCTGAAGCCAAGTTGGTTTTGTGTTCTGCATAAACACCTATTTTCAGGGTGGGCGGGTGTTTCCTGCCAGAGATGTCCACGTCACACAAAGGACGGAACTAACCTCATCAAGTCCTTGCATACTGGTCACCTAGCTGTGCTCGTGTGCACTGACCGGGCTGCGGTCACGAGAGAAGCGGGCTGATGCCGTTTCTCTGGCCTTGAGGGCGACAGGTGACTTACTTGTCCAGCAGCCCCTTCTGCTTGAGGATGCGGTACACCTCGGCAGACGTCTGAGGCCCTTGGAGCTTCTGCCCATTCAGCATCTCCTTCTCCAGTTCCTCAATGGTCTTAAAAACAAAGGATGCAAAGAAAAAAGTCTACGGTAAGGGCCAGAGAGAATCAATGATTTCAAGAGGAGAGCGGGGAAGGGGAGCCACATTCCTCTGCTACAAGCCCAGGAAAGATGAAAACCTACAAGATAAACGACATAAGACTCAAGGACCTTTAAGTGAAAGCAGACAGGTAAATAGGGCAAACCAGCAAACAACAAATCCTGGCTTCCACCTCCGGGCTGCAGCGCCCCCCAGCCCAGGGTTCTCGAGGGTGAGAGAGGGGTCAGGGAGGGCAGGCCAGGGGCTACCTTTCCAGTCTGGGCAAAGGCCTCGGCGACCCTGCGGTTCCGGCCCCCGTAGCAGGTGGTGATCAGGTCGGCCACGCCGCAGCTCTCCAGGAAGGTGGCTGTGGACACCTGGTCCTTGCAGAAGATCCTGGCGAAGGCAATCATCTCCATGAGTCCCAGGCGGATGACGGCAGCTTTGGTGTTGTCTCCGCTATGCAGGCCGTCGCAGAAGCCGGCTCCCACTGCTACGATGTTCTGCGAAGGGAGCAAGGAAGCCAGGAAGCTGTCACCCCCCACTGCGGGTGAGAAGGAGGGCAGGTGGGGGAGACACCCGGGCAGGCACCACTGGTTCCTGCACAACCCTCCTTCCTGCTCTTGGACCATGAGTCAGAAAGAGATGAAAGAAGGGACTGGGCTTCTATATTCTCATTTTCAGGACCCCACGTCTGGGGTCAGTAGGAGACAATCGATGAGCATCGGCTAGAAAATCAGAATGCTGAGAGTGGTCTCTTGTTAAACACTGTTTGGATCAACTGCTTTCTTTACCTTTTGGGTTTGTTTTCAAGTCAACTATTTTATTTAAACATAGCATTCTTACAGAAAAGTACACAAATCATAAGTGTACAGCTTGAATTTTCACCAATTGCACACACCCATGGAGCCAGAACCCTGATAAAAAAACAGAACATAACCAGGGCCCCAGAGAGCCCCCCCTTCAGGCCCCCTGCACAGAGGCTTGGGAGGTAAAAAGGATCGGCTTAGGAGGAGGGAAGATTTATGGGGAAATCAATAAAAATAACAACAAAAGTTAAACTTATTGAACTGTTCTAAATGCTTCCTATATTATTAGTGTATTTAATCGTCACACCTCTCCTAGAAGGCGGGTCCTATTAGATGCACAGCGGGAAGTGAGGAGCTCAAGCACGCAGGGTAAGTAGCCCGCCCAAGGCCCCACCGTCAGGACCTGCAGGGCTGGGTTTCCAACCCAGGAGGCCTGGCTCCCGAGTCCTCTCCGGGGAGCAGATCGCACCATGCTGCTCCAGGGCCCGGGAGTGGAAGGCACAGGGGGGCCGCGCATAGTCAAGAGGAGAACTTTCTAATACCAAGAGCTGACCCCACCCAACTGAAGAGATTTAGAGACAAAGGAGCGAGCTATCAGTCACTGGAAGCATCCAAACCAGTGCTTCCGACCTTTCATATCGCTGCACTCAGATGAGGGTGCCCATGGCCTGGGGGCTCCAGCCACTCTCTCGGCCCCTTCCCTGCAGGGCACACAGGTTGAGACCACCTCACTGTTTCCACCAGACATCTAACCTCCCCACGGGGTGGGGGTGGGGAGGGGAGAACAGGGGGCTGCTGCAGGACAAACTCTTCCCTTCCGAGGGGACCCTGGGCCCCAGCCCAGGTTAATCGTTTTATGATGGATCTTGAAACCCTCGCTCTCTCCCTCTGCCACTTATCCCTGTCAAAAGAAAATAAACACACCGAGCCAGTCAGATCGCGTTTGAATAGCATCCGAGCAGCCGTCCGGAGACGGCTCAGCTGTGAAAGTTGTCATTACGCCCTGTGCATTTAAATCTGCTTTGGACTGCTCAGGAGCTAAAAATACCACGATCTTCAGAAGACAGACGGGCCTCCGCCCTTCTCCATTTCCTGGTGATGGCCACACGAGCGGCACCCATCCCCCCGAAGAGCCCCCTCTGCAATTCTGAGTTGGGGCGTGCAGGGCGGGACTCAATCCCTCCTGCTGCCTTCCTCCCAGAAAGAATGTAAAGCTGGAGAAGCGGCCAGGGCTACCTGCGGGTGCTGCCAACGCGCCCACCGCCTCGGAAGAACGGCTCCATTGAGCCCAGGCCAGCGCTCACCGTTCTCTCTCCGTTCACAGCCCCGCCGGCTCTCCCGGAGGCCAGCTCCCAGGCGCTTGGCCTCAGATGAAGCTGTGTCTGCGGAGGGTGGGTTTCCTCCAAGGCAAGGTTCGCAGGGTGAGCCCTGTGCACGGCAGCCGGGCTGGGATGCCAAGGAGGCCTGCGGTCAAGCCCACCCTGGGCCCACCGGGCCCGGCAACCTGAAAGAGGCTGTCTTAGCTAGAGCAGCGTTGTCCAGGATGAGTTTCTGCAACGATATATTTTAGATCCGCTTATCCATTCAAGTAGCCAGTAGCCACTGGCTACTGATGCTCACGGGGCTACTGAGTCTCTGAAATGGGGCTACTATGACTCAGAAACGGAATTAAAAATTTTTTAGAAGTTTTAATTCATTTGAATATAAATGTAAATAGCCACATATGGCCAAAGGGGTCTGGCGGTGGTCCTGGCTAGAGACCAGGCACAAGGCAGCCATCACAGCAGGTTTATCAAAGCCAAGCCCTGGAGGAAACCTACGTACCCAGCGATCAGCAGTGGTCAACCTCACTAGAGACAACCCTACAAAGGAACGTCGTGAGCCCGTGGCACAGGTTTTGGGTTTATTCTCCAACCTATCCTTCCCCCTTTTAAAGTAATAGAGTCTCTGATTTTCATGCAAGTACACGGCTACCTGGGGTGGGGAAAAAACACTATTTTCCCACCTCCCTTGCAGCTAGGTATGGTCACACAATTAAGTACTGCCCACTGGTGTGGAGGCAAAGTATTCCACTGCGACTTCCCAGAACCTGCCACGAGGCCTCTGTCCTTTGTTTCTTTTTTTACCCTGCTGCCTGGAAGGCCGGTGTGATGGTTGGAACTACGGTCACCATCTTAGCACATGAGGATGAAAGGGTTCAGAACAGGCTTCCTCAAGAGGTGCCACCTTGGCATGTGAATTATTTTGAGCGGAAGGCAAATCGAGACCCTGTGGGCTCAAGAGAAATGTTTACCTATCCCTTAAAAAAGTTAAACTGGGGTTTAAGTTTAATAAGAGTTATCAGAAATAAGTTTTCATGACCCATCTATCCAGCAGGGCAAACCTCTAATTACTGAACAGCTGCTCTTCTTATAGTCCTGTAAATTGCCCGCTTCCCCTGAAACCCCAGGCACCTCCCTCTTCCTTAGCTCAGGAAGTCACGTATTCCTCTTTCCCCCTCTGTCTCGGGGTCTCTCGTGTGTGAGGTCTCTGGCTCATTCAGGGATGCGGGTTCCCGTACACAGGTATGTGACTAAATTCTGTTATTTTTTCTTGTTAACCTGGCTCCCGTCAATTTAATTATCAGACCAGCCAAAAGAACCCAGAGCGGTAGGGGAAAGTTTCTTCCCCTTCCACACGGACAAGGGCCACACCCTGTGAGCTGGAAGGAGCCTGGGTTCCTACGAATCCTGTGCAACAGAGCTGTTACAAGGATTCAAGATCTTCACGTAAGAAATAAACTTGCACCTGCTCGCAGCCACTATTATTATTTGGGTCTCCATTGAAGAAAGTTAATCCTGATAAAGCACCTATTCAACATGGTAACATAGGTTGAGCTGTACACGTAACGATTTTTTGTACTTTTCTGTATGAAGTATCTCTTAAAATTGACATGGAAACAAAAATACATCCCTAGGGAAAGAAGCCAGACCCAGAGGGTTATGTCCTGTACAACTTTACTATACAATCTTCAGAAAATGCAAAGTCGTGCCTACAAAAGCAGATCAGCGGCTGCCTGACTGGGGTGGGGGTGAGCTGCACAGGGACACGTGGGATTGTCTGGGGAAGACGGAACGTTCTGCATCGTGGTGGTGACTTTCAGGATGCACACACACAGCTGCTGAAGCCCACTGTATTGTATACTTTAAATGGACGCAGTTTCATGTGCATGAATTATGCTTAAATAAAGTTGATATTTTAAAAAGGACGTTCTGTTACTGACTCGGAGATTAGCACAGCTGGGAGGTGCAGGACATTCTGCAGGCAGTGAGACCACTGGTACAAAATGATTCTGCATAATTCCTTTGAATTTTCTTTTTATTTTTAACCTTGTAAGGAGCTATTTCCCCCTCCCTTTTTTTTCAGTCACACGCCCTCATGTTTCTGAGCACAAAAAACATAGAGTACATTTTTTTACATTTGTGAGTATGGAGAAGATTACTAAAGGTTCTTAATGGGAAAAAGGGGTCAAACACGTCAAACTACTGAACGGTAAGATCCAGTCTTTGTTTTAAAAAGGGGACACACGCACACTTGCTAAAAGATGAGAAGGGTACACAGCGAAGGCTACAATGGTCACCTCAGGATGTAGGGATTATCAGTGACTTTCACTGTCTTCTTTCCACCCTTCTGTTGTGTAAAATATGCACGACTTTTATAATCAGGGGGAAAAACCGATTAATTACGTAATAAAACAAACATGTCCGTTTGTGCTTGCGTTGGCAGGCCCTGACGGGCAGGGCTTTATTTTATTCAGCCGTCCAGACGCAAACCAGAAAAGTCAGGCTGGACGCAGTAACCAGAGAACCGGACCAAGGTTCTGGAAACCGGCACTGATCCTGGGATTGTGCCAAACCTGCTACGCTTGAGTCATTTACTCTCTGGATCCTATCTCATCTGCCCGACAGCACGGCTGGACCCAACTACTGCCGAAACGCCTGTTCTCAGTTTCCAAAAATCCCAGCTCCGAGGAAGCCGACAGGAATGACGGAGCGGCTCCTGTTTCAAAGGACGGCCACGGGGAAGCGTGGCGGGCGGCTCTCAACCCCCATCCGCCTCCATCCCCAGTGACCCGCTGGCCACGGCATGGCACCAATCCACGCCCAGGCTTCCTGCCAACGAAAACGAAAAGCCGTTCTAAGCTCGGACAAAGACCGGCGTGGGCACCGTTCGCCAGAGCTGTTCCAGGGCTGTCCCTCTAGAATCTTCCCCCCAGCACCCTCTGTTCTAGGCAGGATCTCACGGCTTCCCCACCCACCACCCGAAGTACCCAGTCACTTAAAAACCGCCCTGGAGCGACACAGACGGGTGCTGAGCAATTAGGCATCCACGATGCCCCTGCTGTCGAGTGGTCATTAAACTAATGAAGGACTATTAAAAACACATAAAAATCCCAACCAACAAAAATAAACAAAGCCGCCCAAGCCAGCGTCTCCCATGTATGACAGGACCTGCCTAGAATGTGAAGAATGTCCCCCACTAGCGTTCGGAAATCCAGACACACGCTGCCTGGGAGCCCAGTCACTGACGGGCTTTAATCTTTAAAATTCTCCCTGTGCAGGGACATGGGACCACACATACACACGTTATTAACTCCAGAAAGTGGTTTTGAATTTGGACAAGAAAACTAGACGTACAATTTAGAGAAGGAGTGGGAAGGCATTCTTTGGATTGTGGTCTCCTTGACATTCTTTTATTTATTTTTTAAGTTTTATTGATTTTTAGAGAGAGAGGCAAGGAGGGTGGGAGAGAGAGAGAGAGAAACGTTGATGTGAGAGTGAAACATTGATAGGTTGCCTCTGGCACGGCCCCGGCCTGCGATCAAACCTGCAACCCGGCCACGTGCCCGACCAGGAATGGAACGGACCGCCCTTCGGCGCACAGGACAGTCCCCAACCAACTGAGCCACACTGGCCAGGGCTCCTCGACATTCTTTTCATCTTTGCAATTCTTACCTAACAAAGTAAAGTGAATGCCACATTACCTCATTTCCTTCCCTGGGTGCTCAAGTTCCTAAAAAGCAGCTTTTGCTACAATAAAAATGACTCAGCAACCCAGCTCCCCAGCTGGCTTTTTCCCAGAGTCAGGACAGTGAGAGGGACCTTGACCTGCCTTTAAAAAGTAAAGGTGGTTAAGGGGCCCAAGGGTGGAAACTTCCCTTTTTAACCCTCTCAAGCCCCTGGCCAACAGGAGCTGCTACTTAAATCTGATCTTTCCCGAGATAAAACTATTCTTGAAAAAAGCTCCAGAAGCAGTAGACTTTTTTTCCTTTCACAAGAACCACCGACCGAACCATCAAACCAATAGACTGTGTCATTCAGAGGAAACGGTTCCTCTCCCTACTCAAGGTACCGTGCAGGAGAAACACATGAATTAACAGAAGACTCTGCCCCCAGGTAACGCTCTACAACGGAGGTGCTCCCCACGCTTCCCGAATAGGAATGTTGCCAATTCCCCGAAGAGCAAAACACCGCAATTCTCCCCGATTTATCAATGAAAGCAAACCAGACGCGAGAGGGGAGCCCGGAGCCCCCAGGAGCGGCGAGGGCAGAGCGGGAAGCGACGAACAAGGCTCTCCATGCACTATTCTCCGCGGGGGCGACGGCACAGAACACAGGGCCCATTCTAAGCCCCGGGTTAGAGCCAGCCCTGCGGACAGTGGCCAGGCACCAGGAACCGCCCGCCTCGAGCAGGAACGAAAGGCTGGCTTTACCTTAAGAGCGCCACAAAGCTCAACCGTATCTGCGTCTTCAACCACTGTGATCCGGAAATTTGGGGTTTGCAGAAGTTCTTTGAAGAGAAGGCCGTTTGCCATTACTTTGCTGCCTGTTGAAAGGTTAGAAAGAAAGGAAATTCATAACAGTCTCTTAATCTTAATTTTTCACACCTAACACAGCTTCAAATAAGTTTTTTCTTATTATAAAAGTAACATATGGCCATTACAGGAAATTTAGGAAATTCCTAAGGGTAAAAATAGGAGATGAAAATATCCCAGAATTTCACCACAGATGATCATTAACAATTTGGCAAACGTCTTTAACTTACTGAAATAGGCACAGACATAGACTTTCTCAAAACTGGGGACAGAATGTATGTGTGGTTTCATAATCTGCTTTCTCCCATTTTATGGCATAACCAATTTTCTTTATTTATTCTTATTTATTGATTTTAGAGAGACGGGGAGAGGAAGGGGGAGACAGAGAAACATCAATTTGTTGTTGCACTTATTTATCATTCATGTTGACTCTTGTATGTGCCCTGACTGGGGATCGAACCCGCAACCTTGGCGTAGCGGGACGACCTTCTAACCAACTGATTTTTCAATGACAGCATGTCTTTTCTACATCATTTTAAACGGCTGCTTTGCATTTTGCTGTGTCCATGCATTATATTTTACCGAAGTATCTTTTTAGTGTCTGAAATCTAACACTGTTGCAACTTTTTGCTACCATGAACACTTATAAGCTCCATTTCTATGTTTACCTCTGTAACAGATTGTTGTTCACAATCATTCACCCTGTGTCCTGGGAGGAGGGGCGTCCCTTTCTACCTGGATGTTAGGCCTGACCGCACTGTGCTTGAACTCGCAGCGAGCGGCTGCATTTCCCTGCCCGCCGCCTTTGGGCTCAGCCGCGTGATTTGCTTTGGTCAACGGGACATTAACAGACACGGTGCAGTAGAAGTTTGCATTCAGAGTCCTTGTTTTTGCTACTGCTAGATCCCCTCCCTTGGGACAGTTCCTAGAATGAGACAGGTACTCGGGAGTTTTTTCAGTTTTTTTGGTTTGTTTAGGGACTTTGGGTTAAAAACAAAAACAAACAAAAATCAAACTTTACACCTAAAACCTGATGTGAGGTGCGCTCTGGAAAGCAGGATGCACAAAACTCACCAGCCGAGCCCTGGCTCCCAAGTCAGCGTCTCCACACAGACAGCAGAAGGCCCACCGAAGCCTCCAGGGCCTGGGCTCTGCCTGCCTCCTGGCTCCCCAGCCCGTCTGCACATTACAGTCACCTGAGCATCTTTTAAAACACCAAAGCCCAGGTCACACCCCAGACCCATTAAGTCGGTCTCGCGGGGAAGCAGGCATCAGTCATTTTCAAAGCTCCCCAGGGGATTCCAAGGGGCAGCCACGTTTGCAAACCTGTGACTTAACTTCTTCTAACCTCCGTTTCTTCATGAGCAAAACACTATGGCACTCCTAGGACTGTTGTGGGGTTACATGAGAATCAGGTGTGAAAACAGGTTATTTGTCATAATGAGCACTCGGCTCACATGTAATAACAATGGGCTAGGCGACAACTCCCATGCTTGCGACTACAGTTTACCCCATTTACCCACAGGAGGCCCAGAGAGGTTTACCAACTTGCCCAGGGTCACACAGCCATTGGAGGCAGAGCCCAAATTCTAACCCAGGTGCTCTGACTCCAGAGAACGGACTCTCTATGCTGTGCTGCCTCCCGGAGTGAGAAAAGAGAAGATAAACCGGCAAAACCCAAACAAACATGACAACAGAGCTCTATTCTTCCAAAGCAGAAACAAAGATGACTGTCAACATTAAGATTACACCCACAAGTAATATAATGTCAAAACAGTCCAGGGGGAGTGGAAACAGGGTGGGGACACAGATGAAATAAGAATGGCCGGCCCTGGCCGGGTAGCTCAGCTGGGTAGAGCGTTGACCTAACATGCCAAGGTTGCAGGTTCGATGCCCAGACAGGGCACATACAAGAAACAACCGGTGAATGCATAAATAAGTGGAACAACAAATCCATGTTTTCCTCTCTCTGAAATCCATTAAGAATAAAAAAGGAATGGCCAGAAGTTAATCATTACTAAAGCTGGGCAAGGGGTACATGGGGTTCGTGATATTGTGCTACCTACAGTTGTTTTCAAGGAAATTTTCCTTAATAAAGTGTTTAAAATATTTATACCCAATACCTAGAAACACATTTTCTATTCTACACTCACTGCTATTACCTATTGTTTAGCTGTGTTCTCCTTTTTCCAAATATTATGTGTCAGTTTGAGCAAACTGTCCCCTTCCTTTTTTAAACCGTCACCAGGCCGTCTGGGTGATTCTGTGCACCCTGTTTCATCACCTGGGCTGGGTAAACGAGCCCCCGGCCTCCTCATCATGACATCATCACTGGCTCTCTTCTCTCGCCCTCACCGTGGGCCGCTGCTCAGTGCCTCCAACAGGAAGGATGCTTGTGAGCATCACAGATAAGCCCCTCCCTCAAGTGACTTCCATCCAGCCATCTGCTGCTGTGAGCCACGGACAACCAGGCAGGGAGAAGTGCATTCTCCATTTGCCACGGATACAAAGTGGGGTCTGTGAGTCCTTCTGCAGCTGCAAATTACTCACAGTGTCGACTGGAGAGGTGAGCTGGATTTATAGCAATCAACACTTTTTCTCAAGTGTACTTTAAAAAGATTATTCTAAATCATGGATCAGAAAGCATTAACCGTATTACTATTACCAGTCATACGCAGTAATGTGGCAAGCGGGGACCCTGACCACCTGCTACAGAACAGGTAATGTCCAACAGCCATGTGGGAGGGCCGCGCCAAGTTCAGTATGCACCAAAAGACAGGAAAATCCCCTTCTCTTTCATGCCAAGTTTGAGAGAGAATCGACCTCTTTAATTAGACTCCTTCAAAACCCTCATTTCATGAGCCTGTGATTCCGTATTTGTTTCTGTGCTTAGAAGCTCCACAAGGAGCTTAAGTATCCTCGATGTTTAGTGCCATGCCTGACACGTAATAGGCTTTGAAAAATATTTGGGGGGTGACTGAGTACAAGTCTTGGATTCTGTGAGGTCAATGCCAAGGATGAAGAGAACTCTCACCACAAGGGGGCACCGCAGTTCACCATGCCAGTGAGTATTTATACAAGATACTAAAAACAATGCCGTTTTTTTTCTAATGAAAGACTCAAATGGGCTGAAATTCTTGGATCTACCATAATTAAAAATGAGCTGGTTGCTAATGTCATCAAGAAAGGAGATCCGGGTAAGTTCAGTGCAATTATCAAATACAGGAAATCTAATGTTGATACAATTACCTAACAGACAACCGTATTCCAACCTTAACAATTATGCCAATGTTGTCGTTCAATGCTGTCCTTCACCCCCTGAATTTTCTTTAGTCTGTGACACTCCCTTAAGCCATTGTCATAAGTGACAATGACATTTCTTGAAGAGTGTGGGCCAGTTGTTTTGTAACATGTCCCTTACTTTGGGCTTTCTGCAATTTCCTTATAATTAAATTCGGGTTATATACACAATTCAGAAAATATCACCCTCCTGTTCTATCTTACTTTCAATGTTGTACTTAATTCAGGCCGCTCTGGTTAACGGTGGTCCAACCCCCAGCAATGGCGGTGGAAGCACTGAGTAAACAACAGCCAGAGGGAAGAGGTGTGGCTTCCTTGCATTTGTCTGTCTTTACAAATCAACAGAGCCTAATGCACCCTGCACCCCATTGGAAACTTTCCCACAGCAGACAGGGCTTAGAGGCAGGTAAAATCCTTGCCAAAACCTACAGGTGGACATGAGGTTTAAATCAGGGATTGGAGGGGAAAGCTCGGCCTTGAGGAAAGATTGGAGTAACCAGTCAATTCCAACCAACAAATTGGCAAAACTGATAGTCAGTTGATTATTGGCAAAAAGGACTGAGTTGGAACAAGTAGTTAACAGGTTTTTTAAAAAACTGAATTACGTAATAATTTCACAGGCTATATTAAAATCACAGATAAAAGAATTAACTGTGAAAAAATAAAACCTATTTATACAGTAGCATATATCATATGTAAATTTTTCTGGAAGGATGCTTAGAAACTGCTAACAGATTCCCTCTGGGAAGAGGGAGTAGGTGGGAAACTACCATCTTAATTCTAATTTTATACCTTCTCATATTGTTTGAATTTCTATACTTGTGGCTATATCATTTTTGAAAATATCTACCTGAGAAATGGTATTATAGGCCACCCTGTTTTCTTCTTTATATTTTCTGTGGTACCTCTCCTCTCCAAAAATATTATTTCTCAAAAACAGAGTTTTAAATGCCCACATATATGGGATTGTCGATGGAATACTATGCAGCTATGAGATGTATGCTGATGGACTTTGAAAGTTGTCTGTTATACATTAATAAAGCAATTATAAAACAATATATAACTAAACTGCAAACATAAATGATCTGGACAAACAAAATAATGAAAATTAAATGAAACAGTAAAGATGGCTTTCTTTTGATTACCCGTTTTCCACAATAATGACATAATATCTATGCAATTAAAAAGAAAGGGAAAAATGCAAAAAAAAAGTAAAAATGCCCTAACTTGCAGGCATGAATGAGAATCGGGAGCTACATTTTCCCATGCATACCATCTTAGTCAGGAGAGCCCGACCTGTCTCAGAGCTTCCTGTTGCAAACCTGCCAGGGAGAAATGATTCACAGCGCTCGAGTGTTTGACAAGAGCGGGAGCAAGTTCTGGAGTGGTAGATAAATTTAAGTAAACGATTGCAAAACAACTGCAAATGCAAACATATTCACAGGCACCTGAGAATTCCGAAGCCCTAAAGAAACAAAATTTTTTACACCAATGTTGCGCAAGACTAGAAAGAACTTTCTATTTCAGGAAATAAGGAGAGCTTGGGTTCTGCATTAGCTGTGTGACCTTGGGGCAGGTAACTTATTTTCACCTGAAAACAGGGATCATTCCCACCAATGTTCAGATCCCATTGGAATCCAGTGAGGATCCAGATACTGGCATCTGTGAGTAAAGAAAAGCTGGGTTTCTAAGGCCAGGGGAGCCCCACCACAGATGTAATCACCTGCTTCTTGGTACAAGAAGCAACTTTCCTTTTTGTGTTTATAACCTCAATAATTTGTTCTTGGATTGTGACGGGTCAAAATGGTCTCCTTGGCTTCACTTTCCTTCTGGAGGTTGTTGAGACTCTTCAGTTCTACAGAATGGTCTCTTACATAAAATCCCCATTCCCCCTAAAGGTCCACCCCAGGAATGCTAAGGGGGCAGGGGAGAATCCACTACAGGAAATCTCAGACATGGAAAATGTATGTTAAAACCCCAAAGGCCCAGGCCCCGCGGCCCAGCGGCGCTCACCGATGGTGGTCTCACAGAACTTCTCTGCAGCCACCTCATTGGCAATGTTGGCTCCCATCAGCACGCTAATGTCAATGCCCATCTTCTCTCGGATGATGTCAGAAATGAGTTTCAGCCCCTCTGGGCCCTCGTCTATGCCCTAGAAGGAGGTCAAGAAGTACAGTGAAAAGAAACCACCCACAGGGAAGAGGTCCGGGAGCATTGCTTTATAGGTTATCTATCTAGATTCAGACATCTAGTGGCACATGCATCTTCAAAAATATCTCTTACGAGAGAATACGTATACGCTGCGCATGTACTGCATAAAGAATTGCAAGAAAATGAACATGTAGCCCCACCCTGAATGTGGAACCACCCAGGTTACACGGAACAGAACATGACCAACACCACTGAAGTCCCCTGTGTCTCTCCCCAAGTTCATTCGTCCCCAGGGTGAACCACTAGCCTGAATTCTGTACGCACTCCTCCCTTGCTTTTCTTTCTTTCTTTTTTAAACTTTTTATTTACTCATTGATTTTAGGAATAAAGAAACATCGATGGTTGTTCCACTTACTCATACATTCACTGGGTGCTTGTTGTTCGTGCCCCAACTGGGAATCGAATCTGCAACCTTGGCAAATCGGGACATGCTCTAACCAACTGAGCAACCCGACCAGGGCCCCCTAGCTTTTTTGGATCATTTTGCCACATATAACTGTCCCTAAACAATATGTTAAGACATTATACCTGTCCTTGAAAGCCTGTAAATGGAACTGTCCTGTTCGAATGTGATGTGCTGTTTTATGCTACATTATTACTTCAGAGAGTCCCCCACGTGGCTGCACGAATGCTCCGGTTCATTCCTATGTACTACTGTGTAATATTCCAAAATGAACAGTCCACCACTCGCTTATCCAGTCTTCTGTGGACACCGGAGTTTGCTTTCATAGACATTAACCTGTGAACACTCTGGAACAGTCTCTCTAGGGGGCTGGTCAGCTTTTCTATGCTGTGGACTCCCCCCCGGGGCAGTCTGGTGAAGTTTATGACCTCACTCAGAATTTCACATGCATACAGAGAGATATATAAGATCATCCAGGAAGCCAATTATACTGAAATATAGTCACCAAAATGTTAAAAAAACAAAAATAAAATTTTTGTTAAAGTTATATATGTGCTGTTTTATTAATGCAATTAGGAAAGGATGCCATGGCAGGTCTAAAAATGATTGTAATTTCAAAGTAGTGATGAGCATAAATGATACTTGAGAGATCTGAAGCCACTGTAAAGTGAGGGGGACATATGACGATTTCTATTGACAAGAGGGTCCCAGGTCCTGCTAAATACAACTATTACTGAAACTGTGGCCTGTGGTCATCCTTCGTTAAGTGAGGGTGCTCATTTCAGTTAGAGGCTAAAATAAATAAAAATGCAATCCCCCCCCACAGTTAAGACCACAGACCTCCTGAATTCTGCCTATGGATCTTTGGGGGTGGTTCACGGACTACTAGTTAAAAACTCCCTCTTTGAGGAAAAGACCAGGAGTGGGAACTAATACGAACTCCTGGTGATTTCCAGAACGCTGGTGAGACCCACACACTGGTCAGGAAGGTTCTTTCTGACCACAGGGCTCACCAGGAGGAGCCCCCCCCGCCCACATCTGCCAGAGAAAGTGGCCTCCTGCTCCTCCTAAGCTAGGCTCCCGGGAGGTATGTTTTTGATTACCTCCCAGGCATCTTCACAAAAACAAACGGAAACCCTGAAACCTGCCAGAACCTCCCCTTCACTTCCTTCTGTCCAACAGATGCAAGCAAGAGGAAGTGAAATGTCCCAGGAAGCAGGGTTTCCTGCCCCGGTTGGCTGGCTGGGGGCGAGTCACCTTGATGAGCGTGATTCCCAGGGCTTTCTTGGGCACTTTCCCGGTGATCTCGTCGCAGATCCTGTGGATGAACTGGTGGGGAATGACAAACACCAGCAGGTCTGCGTCCTGCACGGCCTCTTTGAGGTTTGAGACGGCAACCTGCCACAGCGAGGAGGAAACAGTTACTCCTATACCAAAGCTGGCCCAAGTGATTTCATTCTCCGACCCTTTACCAGGTGCCTACTACGTGCAGAGCACTGTGCAGACAGACAGCGAGTGTGAGCTGTGCTCTGCCTTCCTCATTCACAACTTGCACCTAAAGCCAGGAGGGTCCTGCCTCTCCATGCCTCAGTTTCCTTACCTGTAAAAGGGAGCCGTCAAGATCCTGTGTGGGTTGTTCTCTGCTGCTCTCCCAAACCCCCAATCCATTTTCTGCCCTTCTTTGCCCCCCTCTGTTCTCCGGGAGGCTGCTTATTGTGGACTGTCTCCTCTGAGACCCTTGCTTTCTGCCTCCCCGTTGCCTTCAGCCAATGGGGGGCGCTGTCAGGGGACCCGAGGTGGGATGAGAGATGACAGGTCAGGGCGTTTTGAGCCTCCTGGGCCACTCCTGCCTGGGCTCGCAGGCCTGCTGGCTTCATTTTACAGTTACAGCTCCTGACAGGCAGCCCCTCTTCACATCTCTAAGCTCTTGTCAGGCTGGTTTGGTGACACGGGTCTGTCCCCTTGCCCTTTCAGGGGTGGTCACGGCCTCCCGCTGTTGCTAATCTCTAGGCGCTTCACCAAGGCCTTTTGGCTCCCTCGGCTGTGCCCACACCTCTGAAAACGGTCCCTCAGTAAACTGTCCCTGGCTAAGGGCTTTGAGAGCGCCGCTGTGAGGACCGAATGATTCAGAAAAAGTCTGGCACCTGGCACGCACTCAGTACACGTCAGCTCTTATGATTTCTTTCCTTCCGATAAATACAAAAATGGGTTTTAAATTTTAACACTGGCAGAGAAACACAGACTCACAGACACACGGACAGAGGTGAGGGCATCCGGTGAGGACAAAGGAGCATGTGGTCTCCAGCAGAGACTGCTGCTTGTTGCCCAACGTCTGTTCCTTCTTCCTCAGCAAGAGAACCCCCAGTTTGGGGCGAGGCTCATAAATGCCAGGAAAGAAGGCTTCCCCACGTGAATCGTGCAGTTTAGGTGGAACGGGCCCCGCCCCTGCTCCACAGGTGACCCTTAACTTGTTCAAGCCAATGGGACACAGAAGGCCTTGCACTGCAGCGGGAACAGCTAGCTGCTCCCTTTGTTCTTTCCATCAGATATGTGGACAGCTTAACTTCCAAAGTCAGAACCCTAGGGATCCTTTCTCTCCCCACCGACAGCATCGAGAATAACTGTAGGCCTGAAACTAATATAAAATAATATTATATGGCAACTGTAAGTGAAAATAATAAAATAAAATAAAAAGAATAACCCTGAGGAAATGCTGCCTGGCCCTCGTTGAGTGACACAGAAGAGAAAATCATCGTTGTCTAGAAGGCAACAGCTTCAGCAGGCTCAGGAAGGAGTCCACCAGGAATCAAATTCCAGCCCTAGCCTCTAGCTATGCGGCCTTGGACGCGGTTCATTAACCTCTCTGAGCCTTGGTTTCTTTCCCTATAAAATCAGAATCACCATCATCATAGAAAAACGAACAGTATCAACCTATTAAAACAAACAAACAAACAAACAACAGGCCAAAATGGAGTCACTTTTGCTAAGCCAGGTCACCAAACCAAAACCTAATAACTAACCTAACTGCCGTTACAGCTCCTTCAGGGAGTGGGATTTTTAAGCCAATCACCCTGAATTTCAATACTAGTGAGGTAACCTGCCTGATAATCTGCCTTTCCGTACAGAAAGGTGCCCATGCCCGAAATAACCCACTCTTTTAACTTTCCTGTCCCACTCTCCTTCTGCCCATAAAAACCTTCCACATTGTACCTCTCCTCTGAGCACCTTTCCAGTTGCTAGGTGGGACGCTAGATGGAACTGTGAATAGCTTCATAAAGCCCATTAGATCGTCAAGTTTACTGCGTTGAATTTCGTTCTTCACAAAACCTAAGAGGGTTATTGAGAGCATGAGACAATATATGTGAACGACTCAGCATCGTGCTGGACACTAATGAACACTGTAACCGAAAGCCAAACAAAAGTCTCCAGCGAGCACGGTCGCTGCAGCTCCGAATGCCCGGCACCTGTCGGTTCACAGACCTGTCTCCCCCGCTGGACTCATGAGGGAGGCGAGGTCATCTCACGCCTCCTTCTGTCTCCAGCACCCGACCCTGCGCTTGGAAGGTTTGTGAGTGAACATGTGTAGTGATGGGTATTTCCATAACCAAGGAGAGGAGTTTCGCTGGTTAACCACCGGCACGAGGCAGCCACGGCCTGGTCTTCAAACAATTCCAGAACGCTACCGAGGAGTGAAGCTGGCAACAGCAGTTCATAAACTCCACTCAGACGAGCGGCGGGGGACCCTCCTTTCGCTCATTTCTTCCTTCCCTCCTAAGTCACTGGAGTGAGGCCACGTGGTAACCTGTATTTCCCTCTTAGACCTACCATGCTTGAATTCTAAACTGTCAGTCTTACAATTTTCTATATTCTCTCATCTCCTCTGTAATTTAGGCCTTGACTCTGATTTTAATTACAGACCAGGGTTAAATGTCCTCACAAGTGGATCAAAGTCCACGTATCTAGAAAGGGTATATCAGGAGTTACCAGGGTGCACGATCGGCCAAAGACAAGGCTGTTAATCCAGCTTTGATGTGACTTGTAGTTTGAATGCCAAGAAAGGAAACTGTTGTGAGCCAAAATTCCTAAGTCATAACCCTAGTACCTCAGAATATCACTGTATTTGGAGACAGGGTCTTTATAGAGGTAACTGAGTTAAAACAGGGTCCTTAGGATGGGCCCTAATGCAACACACGATCGGTGTCCTTGTAAAAGGAGATTAGGACATGGACAACACAGAAGGAAGACCATGGAAAGACACAGGAAGAAGTCCAGGAGAGAGCTTCAGAAGGAACCCACCCTGCCAACACCTTGATTTTAGACTTGAAGCCTCCGGCACTGTACCATCTGGTCTACTGTACTTTGTTACGGCAGCTCTCGCAAACTAAATCAATACCCATTTCTGAGTCCGGAAAACCAAAACCGACCAAGCAAGGCACTTGGTAGGTGAAAGGAAGAGGGAAGTAGCTTTTGTATTTCTTCAAGTCCCAAGTGCTAACTTGGCCGAGCGTAGCTTTCAAAATTAACCAAATGTGATTTTTCATCCTGAAGCCTTACCACATTTTCTGGCAGCTTGTGTCCAGGGAGATATTTCACATTTTCATGGTCATTATTTATGATGTCTGTCAGTTTTCTCCCGTTAACCGTTTCTTCAAAGACCCACATCTTGACCGTGGAGGCGAACTTCTGAAGTTTCTTGACATTATTACCAACTATTTTTGCAACAGCTGAACCCCTACAAAAGAAACAGTGGAAAAGAAAAAATAATTAAATTCACTTGGGCAGAAGAGAAAATGCATTAGATTCTAATTCAGAAGTCTCTCATTCTGTTTCGTATTCAAGCACTGAGCTTGTAACTCAAGATGTGATGTTGTGTCAGCCACAAGTCATGTGAAACTTAGTTGTTTTCACCTGGAAATATGAGCCCTGTGATCGAGAAAGCCCCAGAATCTGGTACAAGGCTGGGCCAATAAGCTTCTACTGCAGGACTTTGAATGAGAGAAACAGTTTGTTTCTTAGACAACTTTCCTGGTGTAATGAGCAACTGAAAGAATGGTAAACAGCACTTTGCAAATTCATGTGTTGGGGTAATCATTATTTTTTTTTCTAGTAAGAAACTGAGATGAATCCTCAGTTAGGTGAAACACAGAGTAGTTTAAGAGTATAAAACTGTCCAGTATTTTGATATATCAATGATCTCAATAAAGCTTTTTAAAAAAAGTATATTCCACACCCAAAACTCCTTTTTGGCTCTGAAATGGTCCTAAGTGTGTCCATTACGAGTGTGTTACTACTTGTGATCAACGTGAAGGAACAGAATCAGCAAAGGGAGTGTTGTGGAGGAACCTGAGTATTTTGAAGCGACTGGAGTCTACTTACAAGTGACACATCTCATTCTAAAAAGAAGTGACTTGACCTGCAGAGGGCCAGTACAAAATATGCACAAATATATTAGAACTCAGCTTAAAATTAAAGTACTGACTGCAGCCTGTGAAGGCAGCTGTGTGGCTTGGCCACAGTTGGGGTCCCACGGCCACAATGATGGAGTCTCCGTGTTTCAGGGGTTGTTCTGCCAACGCACGAGCAGAGTCAGATAAGAATCCTCACACTGCTGGGTCAAGGGCATGAGCAGCCATTTCCACACCTGGCCCAACTCATCCATCCACGAAGTGACAGGTGGGGCAGATGACCTTTAAAGTCCCTTCCAGGTCTGTGTCCAAGCCCAGTGTTTTCCAAAGCGAGGAATGGGTACCGAGGTACTCCCGATGGCTGAGCGCACCCACCCACCCACACAGCACCAAATGACAACGACTCCCACGGCCCTCCTAAGAGTGTAGAATGTCTCTCTGGAGTGTGACTCTGGTTACCATCTCTCCAGCCTGTGCTCATTTCCTTCCCCGCCAAGTATGAGGCAGCCTCAGGCTCTGGGCCTTGGCAGGTGGTAGGATCTGGTAAGAATTCTATCACGCTGCTGTTTTCATATTACTGATTGCTGTCCTCCTGTACTTACGACATTTGCAGTAGGGACATCAAAGTTTCTTTTAAAGTCAACTTTAAAATTTTTATTAATTGATTGATTTTGGGAGAGAGAGAGAGAGAGCTGTTGTTCCACTTATTTATGCATTCACTGGTTGATTCTTGTATGTGCCCTGACTGGAGATGGAGCCCACAATCTTACCCTCTAAGCTACCCGGCCAAGGCCCAAAGTCACAATAAACAATAAACAAATCATAGTATGAGTGTGAAGCAGACAACCAAAGCCCCACGAGCCTGCAGGATGGAGGTTTAATCCCATTCAAACTCTTCCCCTTACAGATTAATGCACGTGAGGCTCAGAGTCACCCTGACCTTCTGTCACACAACTGGGTGGGCGCAGAGCTGGGAGGGGGACTCAGGTCTGCTGGCGGCCAGTTCTGGGTCTTTACGCAGATGTATAAAATCACATCCTATGAAGTTATGAATTTATCTTAAGTCTTGGGCCTCAAACTATAGACTAACTTGCAACTTCTACAACGCTGCGCAAATGAAATTCAAAGGGGATGTGGGAAATAAAGTTCCAGTACCAGCTATGTACGGGGTACCTGAGAGAAGAGCTCTCTTCCTCTTTACAGCAGCCGCAGAGGTGCACGCATTATCCCCACCTGACAAATGAGAAAGCTGAGGCTCAGAGAGTAAGCTACCCAAAGTCACGGGTCCATCTAGAGCCAGCAGCCCTAACACCAATGGTTGCCGTTATTATTAAAATCAAATCAACAGGTAACATTATGGAAGTTAAAGGTACACAGCGTTGATTCAATACGTTTACATATTACCACGGCGGCACTGTTTTAAATACCTTACCCAGGCAGGTACTATTATTAGACCCATTTTTTTACATGAAGAAACTGAAACCTGGAGGACAGGGGTGGTTAGTGGAAGAGTCACTCCCCACGCCGTGTCTTCAACAGCCTGCTGTCCCTCCCTGGTCCCAGCTGGATGGACGCCCACCTGCGGGGGGTCCTAACCTCCACCTTGGCAGCCTCCGCCCCCACTTCCTTGGCGCTCACTCTCTGTCCACAGCCTTTTTGCCCCTTCCCCCTAAAAAGGTGTAATATTTTACTCAGGCTGAGGATGGGCTGTGTCACCCGAGGAACGGCTATCTATCAAGTCAGGCCCAAGCCCGACCGAACTCGGGTGGCCCATGCTCCTTCCCAGGGTGCAGGCTCTCACTGGGCCAGGAAGGACCCAAGAGTCCAGCCCTCTTTTGACCAAGGGGGAAACTGAGACCCAAGGAGACCGAACAAGGGCTCCTCCAGATTTTCCTCACCCCATGCCCAGTCTCCCCCAGCGCTGATCCTGACTGTGGAGCTCCAGACAGAGCGCAGTCCGTTTTGGTTTAAATAACATCTATTTTTTTACTCGTAAAGGCAACACAGGAAAGAAGAAAAAGCAATTATGAATAATCTCACCCCCCGGGGAGAGCCACTGTTAACATTTTATGTAATTCTTGGCAGTTAAATGGCTTTGAAAGTACAATCAAATGCCAGAGCATTCGATACAAATGTGAAAAATGGAGCATTTTAAAAATAGATTCCACGTGGTGAATGTTTATTTGATCTCCGGATAGGGGAGCTTTCTAAACTTAAAATCAAGGGAAGACACCATGGAGGGACAATGCTCAGTGGGAACCACTTCGCACCAAGGAAGGAAGGGGAGGAGATGAAGAGAGACTTTCGATCAGAATTCAAACTGCAATTGAGAAGCTTAAGATAGAATGTTACGTCGAACAAAAACAGGATGCAAAACTGTACATGCCGTATGATCCTGTGTAATTAACAAAATACACACCACCTCACAGGCTAACGTCTCTCAGGGAAAAACCTGCCCCATCCTCGGGGGACATGATTCAGCAAGTCGAGCTTCAGTGGCAACCTAGGCATGTGCCCTGACCACCCCGCCAGGGCGATACTCAGTATTTTTATCACAATGAGATTTGTCCTCAGGTAAAAGTATGCTTCTCACGGAAAACAACAATTTATAGAAACAGGGACATCAGAGTTAGAAGGATCTGGGTCTCAACTCCACCTTACGGACCACTGACCTTGAAAAGTTATCTCAGAATCTCAGTTTTGTCATCTCAGTGAGGGCGAATAACAGTAACCCCACAGGCTTGCGACAAGATTTAAAGAAATAATGTACCTGACACACAGAAAGTGACCAGTGAGTGGTAACTGTTACTATGACAGTCCTTCCAAAGGGCGGAGAGGAAGTAGGAAAGAGGTGACAGAGTTAAGGGGTGAAAGGTCAAACGATAAAAATGAGCCCGGACTCATGCCTGGAATAAGTAGTAATGAATTTTATCCTGAACGGGTGGGGGCGTGATGGAAATAGGCGATTCTGTATCAATTTGTTGTTGTTTTTTAATTGTACAAATTTTCTCACCCTGCTCAGAGGGACCTCTAGACCTCTAGCCCATCCACTCAAACTCTCCCTCCGGCTTCCAAAGCAGAGGTGCGTCACCTACCCGGCAGCCGGGAAGGGATTATTTCTGATCTGGGAGGAGGTAACTCACAGCCGCTCAGACTTCTTTTGGGCTCTCCACGCGNAGGAGGTAACTCACAGACGCTCAGACTTCTTTTGGGCTCTCTATGCAGCAGTGTTTCAAGAATCAGGACAGAAACAGCAGCAGACAAAAAGGTGACAAAGGCAGACAAAGAACCCCAGCACTGCGTTCAGAAGGTTCCAGCAGACCACAAAGATGAGTCACACCCGGCCAGCTGGAGTCACCAGTGCGAAGTAGACCAAGGCTGTCCCTGACCTTCAGCCTCAGGCCTCAAGCTGTGGGCTTGATGCTTGAACAACAGCAAGGAAGAGATGAACAACTGCAGCTGCGTATCAGTTAGGCTCTGTTTTCTCTCCCTTCTCTGACTCTACTCCTTGGTCAAGCTCCAACTGGGTGCATTTTATGACCTAATGATGGTGCTGGTCAAGGATGATGAAATGAATAATTACAATGATAATGGGAGCCGACATTTATTGAGTGCTACTCACCTTGAACTCTCCCCGGGTCATCTCACTTAATCCTAACCATAATCCCAGGCAGAAGGGAGCACCAATATTATAAGCAACGATTCCTGGAGAGAAGCAGTGTGCACGAGGCCTCAACAGCTGCCGAGATAGAAACCCAGGGACTTGGGAGTCCCGAGCCCTCCTTCTACCCTGCCTCCAAAGGAGGTCTGGGACATGTACTCCCTTGCACAGAGGTTTGGCTGTATGTACAGCCCTGATATTTTGGTTCTAGAACTGGATCTGGGTGACCTTCCCAAGGTTCTGATGAAGAAACTTTGTTTCATCTTTGGAGTTACTTAAGAAGCTTTTTTTGGTGTGCCTGTGTTCTTTTTGCTGTTTTTTCTGAGTCACTGGAGCCATGAAGAGCCATGCAGGTTAGGGAAGCGCCTTCCCAGGAGTGTGCAGCACAGCAGGGCTGGGCTGGATGCCTGCGGGCCCCCTCCTGCCTCTTCCCTGACCTAGAGGAAAGGAGGTGCCAAAGGACATGACAAGGGTGTGTTACATAACCCGTTTACTTCCCCTCACATGTTCTTTCTGGCTGAAGCTCCCTGGCAAGTCAGCTAGATTCCGTCTTCTGGTATCTGTATTGCAATTGATCATTTACACTCAGTGTGAGGATTATAGCCACCTTGGAGCTAGGATCTCAGATGTGACAATACCTCTACTGACATAAGCACTCTGAGCTACTTCAAAGGCCCAGGTGGAACATTTGCTTAATAACCTTCACATTCCTGAGGAGAAGTCCACATCTGGAAGGGTAGATCTCTGTTTTAAAATTAACAAAAGGCTCAAGTCTCTCAGGGAAAAATATGTCCCATCCTCAGGGGATATGATTCAGCAGGTCTAGCTTCAGTGGTAATTCTGATGCAAGTGGCTTCTGGGCCACATTTTAAGAAATGCTATTTAAATTGTTACACCTAATCTTGTGACAGATATTTCATTCCACTTTCTATTTCTTTTGAACTTATCTTCCAAGTTTCTATCTCAGACCTGAAGCTAAGTTCTTAAAGGCAGAGATTGTGTCCAGCTGCATCTGCATCCTGGGAAAGGTCACAATACCTACTACACAGGCAAACACTCAAATGTCTACTGGCCAGGGCTGAACAAGCAATGAGCCCCTAAGTTCCTGAATCTCTGGCGAGGCTGTGATCCTCTCTCTAGGACTGGAGAGGCTCTACACTCAGGGCACTTGCAAGGAAGCCAACAACTGTTCCCATCTGATCTCCCAGTTAATGGAGACAGGCAGCCAGCCCAAACCATCCGCACGGCACGGCACATTTCTCAATTGCTCTGCTCCAGTGTCACTGGCCAAGTTCTACTCTATTTCCTTGGGCTGGAGTGGGCCAAGAAAACAGTCAAGTACATAGTGAAGCTGTGGAAGGCAGCCAAGTCCCAGCAGAGGGGCAGGAGGTTCACTTCACTGCTCCTGATCCAGGCCCAAACCCAGCATGGCAAAGCTGTGCTACTTCCAGCACCTTGCAAATGACGAAAAGGTGCTGTCACCTGTGCTTCTGTCCCCTCTTCCAGAAGAGGAAACTAATGTTAAAAGAACACATGCCAAGTGGGTGCTTTCCCAGTCCCATGGCCAACAGGGCAGCTGATATGTGACTCTAGTGACCTTGGGATCAAGACTGGCAAAGTCAAGCTCTGCAGTGGATAGGTACCAACTCCATTCAGTGTTGTGCAGAACACTCTGATGTTCACAGGTAAGTGCCTAATATCCTAGAGTTCGCAGGGCAAAGAGGGAAAGGAATATATGTAAACATTCATTCGCATGCGATGCAATTCCTCCAGAAAGAATAGAAGAAACTGATAACATGGGGCCCAAGTGTGGGTGGCAAACGGCTCATGGTTTTTTGTTTGGGGGGGTACCTTTGGTTTTTAAATACGTGAATATATTACCTAATCAAATATAGTTACATAAAAAATTTTTTTTTCCACACACTCAGTATTTACTTAGCATATGCCAGTCGCTAAGGTAGACGCTGTTCTCAAGGGCTGGATGGGGAGGGGTAGAAACGGATACACTATCACCCCCCTGCCGTCACAGGTCAGCAACAGGGTGGGTACACGGAGGGGCCCCTGGACTTGCAGGAATGGAAAAGTAAAGAATCAGTTACGGTTTCCTCCAAGAAGTACCTTTTGGGCCAAGTGTTAAAGAGCAGCTAATACGAATTGCTGCCATGCTCCTAGAAGCCTTAAGTAATGAGTGTCAGGCCACAGGAACACAAAAGCACTGAATGAATATCACTCCAAACATTGCATACCAGTCCCTCGACGTGGGGAAAACAGTGCAGGGCAAAGCGATTGAAAATATCGGATTCTATACTATTCTCTGCCCCCTCCCCCAACTCACCCAAACACACCAGCGAAGCCCACGTGTAAGTCTGAAAGAGCTAGAGGAGCAGACATTTACAGGGTGCTTGGAAGGGCGTCTGGCAGAAAGTGCTTTATAAATGTTAAAGCCAAATAAAGCCTAGCAGAGTCGCAAAGCTTCGCAAACATCTCCCCAGAGGAAAATTCTCAAGTCCCTGCATTATTCTGGGAGCCAGGCCTGTTGGAAGTTGGGATTTCTTCCTGATACAACGTTACTAAGATACTGGACGCAACAGCGGCGGAGGCGAGATCGCACTTTAAAGGGCAGCCCCGCCCCGCCCCGCCCGCGACCTGGGTGGCCGGCGTCCTTGAGCCCTCTCTGCCGTTTTTTTAACTTTCTAATTTTTTTT